CGTTTTCACAGCCCAGAAGATCCGCCTATGTCCTTGACAGACCAAAGTATGGTTACATCTTATTGCTGTGGTAAAGGCAACCCCCCATCAGACTGGAAGAATGAGAAGGAAAGAGACTAATTTGCTGTGCTTTTGAAGAAGTGGCCACAGAGCCCAACAGTTTTAACTTTCTTTTGTGAGGGAAAAACTGGGTACCAAAGCTCTTGTTGTAAAACGCTTGCTAGTATTAACAGTGAACGTTGCGCAAGTTTAGCGTTATATCTGAAAAACGCGTCTTTTTTAGCAGTACTTTTATCTCTCACGCACTGGCTCTCTGCGCGATACGAGCACATCCGGAAAAGGATATTGCCGTGTAACGATGCCAATCGAGAAGTACCCGAAATATGAATATACATTTAATACAATGGATGTAAGTTTTTGAATAAAACTATAAGAATTTCCACGAAAAATTAAATTTTTACAACATTTTTGATTTGTGAATTAAGCAAACTAGTGAGGTTACTTGGAAATGTGAGCATAATATCCAGCTAGCAACTTTTCTGTCGATTGCGTTTCTGTAGCTACACGCATTTCAGTTAATGGAAAGGAGGAGGAAGCGTGCTCCTGGTTTTTGCCACTGATACTCGGGGAAGGGAAAGGGTTAAAAGTATTGCTTGCTCCATCCTACTGTTCCTTTGATACATCGTGGATACCATTCATCTGCAAGACTGTCTTCGCTTCCTTCTTTCAGTGGTTGCTTAGAAGTAAGCTGATGATGACACTGAAATATGATTTCATATAAAATTATGCTTTTTTAGGATATAATATTGTTCTGGCATCATATGCGCGCAATTGTTCAGAGCACACCATTATCATTTCGAATGGATGTATCGGTGAGTTTGATGCATGGTACTTTTAAGTCTTTAAAACATTTTGTCCTTCCTTCCTCTTCTCCACCTTCCTTAAAACATCTTACCAGGAATAGCAGGATGCCCGGTCAATGGATGTGGGGACATAGATGGGGCCAGGATGGACTTCTGGGGGAAGGGAGAAGGAGGGGAGGGGAGAAAATGAAAAATTTTTCACAAATTTATTATAGACTTAAACGTTTATAGCAATTAACGATTTCCTCTTGATGCATTTGATACCAAACAGTTTTTTCCTACTTGGTTATCAGGATTTCTTCCGAAAGTTCAAAACGATATTCTTAATTTTCTGGATTTTAAAATTGGGCACCTGAAAATGGGCTTTAGACTGTTCTCTTTTTAATTGGAGATTGCATTTTTTTGCAGCAAGAAGATGCGCATCTGTACAAGAAATACACGATTGGTGTTTTTGATCGTTCACAGATAATC